CTGACCGGCATTATGTACATTTTCTAAGCCTGAAATAGCCCTGAGAGGGAGTATGTCTCCACTGTTATTGTTATTGTGCTCAGAGATGTCGGGCTACAGAGTTCAAGGTAGACTTACTTTTTGCTGGCCAGTCTAGCTGGTAACACTCCAGAATTCCAGCCATATGAGACATATGTTGCAGTATGTTGTCTTTGTTTTTATAAAACATACGTAATCCTGTAACTGACAGAAAAGACCTTCACCAGTGTTGTTTTCGTCAGGCAGGACGAAAACTTAAATGACGACGTCAGACCCCTTTTTTCCTTGACGAAAATGAGACTAAGACGAACGTCACCAAAGCTCTGTAAAGACTAAAATGTGACGAAAATTGTATTCATTTTCGTCAGACGAGAACGAGACGAGACTAAATTGTTATTAGGTGGACGAACAAAGTTTAAAAACATGCTTTTTTTTTGTCCTAACAGTCACGCCCCCATCACACACGCACCAAAAGCCTCGCTCGCGCACAGCTGCGCGCACACACTCATTCACATACACAGAGCAGCAGGTGGACGAGGAGCGCGCACACACACACCGTGGCGGCAGGCACAGTAGCGGTGCCCGGTGGCCGAAAAAAGAGGGATGATTTTTGGTCCTACTTCAGATACAGTTCAAGTGACAATAAAATAAAAGTGACAATAAAACACGTGACGGGGAGACGAGACAGACGACAGTTGTGGAGCCACAGCTTCCTCATGCTTCAAACTGTCGGGAAAGAACACCACGAACCTCAAAAGGCACCTTTACGTCGACTAAAACTAGACGAAAACCTTTTGAGTTTTGGTCGGACTAAAACTAGACAAAAACTATCAAGGATAGAAATGACTAAAATGGGACTAAAACGAAGAAGCATTTCGTCAAAATGACTAAGACTAAAACTAAATCTAAAATGCCTGCCAAAAACAACACTGACCTTCACCTGATGCCTTTCCAACAATAATTCCCATCTGTAAGCCGGTACATGCAGAACAGAGTCCTCTGTGTCGACTGTGATTCAGTGTGGTGTACATTTATCCAGACTTCTTCCTGGTCATTTTTGGGGAGACGGTAATGTTGGATTCACTCACACATACTGTGCTGCAGCTTGACAGCTTTCAGGTCCTGCTGTGTCCTCCGTGGGTGCAGCGTTATGGTGTTTGCGTGAAAGAAAATAATCAGGATCCTGACTGAGCCCTCTTGAACATACACTGGCAGAGCAAAGACTCTGAATGTCAGGCAATCGCGGTTTTTCATAGATGTTTCTAGGAAGAAAAACCTGTCTTGTTTTCAGACCAATATGTCCATGTATTTGTAAACTCTGCAGCAAGTCTCAGGGAATAAGAGACGCATTCACTGATGTATGCAAAGACACAACAGCGAGGCTCTTTTGCAGCCCTCGCCTGTAGAAAAGCAAAAACAGTTCACGATTTGTACCAACTCTGAACCAGCACCAGGGCCACTCTGGTGGAAAAGGGGTAACAGTGTCTACTTTTGTCAGATTCAGTCCATCTAACATTATTTCTTGGAGGGAAACTCAGTCTAAATTTGAATATTTGTTTGGAGAACATTTTTGGCAGTACTTTTTTAGAGCTTTGTTAGTTTCCACATATGAAGAGAAAGCATGATCAAAAACGAAAGGCGAGCCAAGATGAGCGAGTCAGCCTTGTTGGCCATGAACGCTGGTGCCATAAATTCTCACTAAGCAAGCTAAAGTCAGCACTTTGGTGTAATTCCAGTACTTAAGGCAACCTTGAGTCAATTCTGCAATCAATCCCAAGTCAGGATGGTAGACCAAGAGAACAGACATAGAAGATTTCACTTCACTCAACTGTTTTCAACTCACACAAAGAAGCTAAGGATTTCTCACAGAAGTTCTCGCGTCCCAGAGGATCCACAACATGTTTTATCCGAGTTGAACTGAGTCTGGAGTCAGCTCAGTTAGAAATGTTCCAAAAAAAAAAAAAAAAAGACTGCTCAGTTTGGTTTGCCCTGAAAATATTCTATTACACCTCTACAACTTCACTTCTACTGAAGGCCGTGTTAAGTCAAGGATGTTTTGTTAGTTTTGTTGAGGTCAAATGTTCCCTCTCGGTAAAATATCAGTGTATCAGCACTTGTATCTCAGTTAGATTGACATTTTAAGTACAGTATAATAACTACAGTTTTCTATAACCATATAATTCATATTTTGAAGGACTATTTTGTTCCAATTGGACTCTTTTTGACTTGTTTTAATTAAATTTTGAGTGTTTATTTCACTAAGCTTACCTCAAACAGTCAATGACAGATAATTCTGCATCGGTATGAGGATAATATATGATTTATTTGAGTCAACATTTAGCTGATGCAAATCCTCTTTTGAAAAATCCCTTTAACGATATACAAACTTAACAGTAGGTTACATTTACACAACTGGAATTTAGATTTAAATCCATGTATACGCTTGCTCCAAAAACAAAAGGTTATTGAGCTGAAGCTGAATTTGCCTTTTCCAACATAGTATGAAATAACAAGAGCTGTTGTCATTGACAGTTTCCAGCAACCAGCAGCTTTGATCTTTCACTTCACATCATCCCACAAACATCCGCAGCTGAGAAAATGAATGCAACACAATGAAGACTTCTCATTACACATCTAAAGGAAAGGGCAGAGGAGTTTCTAGATGTCACCTATTTATATGCATTCAACATATTATTCCTGCTCCAACATTATCGACCCACATGCACATTCTTCATATTCACGCTCCCTTTCTCTTTCCTTCCCTTTATTCGCTCTGCTTGATATTTAATGCGACTCCAGCCTTTGATGTATTGTTGTACTTGTTATTTTGTTTGTAATTCTCTCATTATGCTTTCAAATGTTCAGGTGTCCTTGTCTTCTGATAAAGCTGAACAGCCTTGAATGTTAAATACAGTGCTGAATCCTTACAGCGGGCTTTTGTTTTTGTAGTTTAATTATTGAGGATTTATTCGCAGACCAAATAACTTGCAAAATCTTGAAGTAGAATATGATAGCAATGCTTTATATTCTACAAAGCTGCATTTCAGCGTTAAACACATAGAGCTGTGGACACGTTAAAACACCAAGCACATGCTACAGTCACTCTGCTACACCATCACATGGCCAATATATTAGATTGTGCCTCTATTCTGGTGCATAATTTGATTACAGTCAAAACCAGGCAGGTGAACACGTTCACCTTAATAAAAAGTAACTGAATAATTCATTGCATTAAATGTGTTGGAAATGACTTCGAGTGAGAGAACAAATTACGATGTACAATATAAATCGATGATTACACAAAAGGACAGAAATTGGGTTCTTGGTTATGTCCCCATGGGTCGACCAACACATGTATGTGGACTCTGAGGTTACAGTCTTTGTGGCAGGTCATTCCTCCCCTCTGCAATAAGACTTTACAACGAACTGTAATAATAACTGGATTTACACCACCACTTTTTTCTAGCATTCAAATTGTGTATATTGAAGACAGTTTTATTTTTATTTTTTTTTCTTCTCCCTTTTTCTATTTTTTTTCTTAATTATTACATTTATTTAAGTTCTTAATATTTAGGATCTTTATTTTTATAACTGCATTTTTGCACTCTTTGTCTGTGATGCTGCTGTGACAAAAAAAATTTCCCCCATGGGGATCAATAAAGGAATATTCTATTCTATTCTTTTCTATTCTATTCTATTCTGTGTTTGTTTTATAGCATCTTTGTAATTCTGTAGTCCTCTCATCTGACCCATCTAAACCTACCACAGAGGCTTTTGTGGATATTTTTTTTAAGCAGATAGGTTCTGCTGCAGCTTGTCACAGTGGTAGCTTAACAACACGGTCAAAATTTGTTCCTTATAAATATCCGGAGTACTTCATTTTGTGACTTGAAGGGTGAATTTTTATCCCAAAAGCCCTCTGGAGTTTTCAGATTCCAACTTTTCATTTGGCAATATCTATTTAATGGGTTTACAAGCATCTGCCTGTGGGACTGCAGTAAAAAATTCACTAGCTACTGTCAAATTTATACAATGTTAATTTGAATTTTCTTCATGAATTAGTTAATGAAAAGGCATCGAATGCACAAAATGCCTCTTTCAGTCCAATTATTGATATTCAAAGAATCAAAAAGAGGATTTCAATGAATATTTTTGAGGACTATATTGTACGCTGATTTTCAGAATTCAGTCAAATAAGTTGATAAAAGCAGCCAAAGCTGATTCATAAAACCTTGAACTTTCAAGGCCGAGGCTGCCGAATCAAAGATATGAGAGATAATGTTACGGTGTGTAAATATGGAGCAAGGGCAGTTATTGTTAATAGAGTATTGAACAGGGTGAGCCGGCTGGCAAAGGCCTGAAATAAGACAAAAATGCCGATGCAGGCAGGGGAACTCAGAGGAGCTCCACGCTCCAGCTTGCCTGCTGAGACCCATCACACAGTCAGCACCTTTTTCCAGTCACTGTGCCGTCAGCTCACCATATTAAATTGGGAATTTGAGCCACGAGGAACACGGAAGAGAGGGGAGACAGTGCTACAGGACAAAACCCACCCAAACGGACATTCTTTGTGGTTTTAAAAACTTCATCTCTGACCATACAACCCCAGATTTTCTTCCTTTACATTTCATTGTATTTAGATAGATTACCGCTGTACATGAGGGCAGATCAAGGAGTTTTCGCACCGTGAAAAACCCAGGAAAATTGGATATTAGCGTTAAATCTCCCATAAATCTTTTTGCTAAGACTTGCAGCTCTTCTTGACTCTATAAACTTAAAACAATGTCATCTCTTTTGTCCCTCAGCTTCTGGGCTTTTCATTTAAATCCCATTTCAATGTTTCTTCTTGTCTTTATTTCCCCCGTGTTCCTTTCTTAATGTCACTATTATGCTGTATAAACCACTTAAGTATTGCTGTGTGGTTGAAAGGTGCTTGATACATAAACTTGCCTGGCCTTGCAGGAAATCAGATCAGCGAATGTGGGTGGGTTAGTGGCTTCACTGGGGCCGTCAGAGGATATCAAACAAACCCAATTTCTAAAAAGCTGCCACATTAAGTGTGGGTTTTCTAATATTAATGTGGATAAAACATGATTCTGATGATAAGCTAATCATTTCAACCCTTTATTTGACTAGAAATAGTGTCAAGACAACGTGAAATAAAAAAGCAAAAAATGAAAAAGATGTGAGAAAAAAAAAGCGCTAAAAAGACGGAGGCTAAAAACCAATATCGGATTTAATTGATTTTCTTTTTTTTTTTTTTTCTGTACCGCACATCTCCAACAAATGCACCCTCAATGTGGCCATGACCTTTGGACCCTCAGGAGGAACCGTATTGAAAACAGAAATGACTCAGTGGGAAATCACTGAACAGATTTAAAATCAATTTCAAACCTATTGACTGTGAACACAGTCCGACACTGCATTAACAAACGCAGGTTAAACCGTACCACGCAAAAGAGGAAACCGTTTAAAGAGGAGCTCATCTGAGATGGATTTAAGATGGCAAAGTGGACAGCTGTACAGTGGTCTGTCAAATTGACTTTTGACATTCTTTTAGGAAATCATGAACGCTCTTTTCTTTGCTCCGAAGAGGTCAGGGACCAACCTGATTGTTATCAGCGTCGAGTTCAGTAGCCAGACAGACCTTGCACATTTCAGCAAGATAATACTAAACCACATTCTGAGGGTAATACAACAGCATGAAAACTGCCTTGCCTAAAGTCCTGATTTTTTTCACCCATTGAAATCATTTGGAGCGTCATGAAATAAAAAGTGAAAATAGTACTGAGCAGCTGGAATCCTACACCAGGCGAGAACGGGACAGCATTAGACTTTTAAGTCTCCAGAAACCGGCTACCTTGGCTCACCAATGTTTGCAGTGTTTGCAAGAAGAGGTGACGCAGCACATCCTGTCACTTCTTTTTTCGAAACGCTTTACTGGTGCTGAACTGAACTGAAGCAAACCGGGGTGGAAACACACAATTATGATACAGACAGACCCACAGCACAGAACTGATCTGCTGTGACTCTTCCCACCCCCCTCTGCTGATCACTTGTCTTGAACTGAAGAGTCTTTTTGATCAAACTGAGCCGGACAGCAATTATATATGAAACTACCTTTGTCTTTACATGTTACACTTAAAGGGGGGGGTAGGCAGGATTCCATTAAAGAAGCATCTTTTAGTCAATAGCTATTAGTTATTGATGACATCTGGTAATATAACGATATAGCTGTGTTTTGTTATGTCTGTGTAGTCAACAATTTAAAAAAAAAAAGTGTTTCTTGTCAAACGGGACCTGCTGCGTGTTGTAGCGCCCCTAAACTGTTTACCTCGGGTCCTGGACTATGTCACTTTATCCTAGTTGTAGAAGTCCTGCAAACATTGTGTTTGCTGGTGGTCTGTTGGCATCTACAGTAGCACCAATGCTTTTTACTTTTACATTGACTGGACCCCATTTGTAATTATCTGAAGTATTTATCTGCATTATATCTGATTTTCATTGGAACGATACAAGCCAGGACGAACGTCTGTTTGTGGGTGGGGCTTGCTGGAGCAGAGAGGGGAGAGGAGGAGCTGTGAAGGTTGGTCCTGCCTACCCCACCTTTAATTATGACCTAATAAGAAAGAAAAGCACCAAAAAGTGGTGCTGTTACAGTAGTCCACCTCTTTTCCACAGCTTGCTTCATTGAGCGCCAAACTCTGAGGACTTTAGAGTGACACAACAAAATACCTCTCTATGCATTAGTCACATCTTAGATTACAAAACAGGCATTAAAAGTGTGTCAAATACACTAAATTTTACGGTAATTTTTTCATGGGATCGTTTTAATTGTGCATGCGACCTAATTTTTGCGTGAGAAAGCATAAACCAAAGGTCACAGGAGTTTACAGAGTTCCCTATCCCCCCTTTTTCCTCCCATCACACATTTGCTCCGATTATAAACATTTTCTTAATCCCTTAGCTCTGGATACATGTGTTGACGTGTTCCCCAGGAGTGTGTACCCACTGAGGAAATGAAATGAATGGGAATATGTCTCAACTTGAATGTGAGGAGGTGAAGGGCAGGAAGTGTTAAAACTCACTTTGGTCTCTTGGGTCCCTAGTGGGAAGCCAAAATGAAATTACCTCTTCCCACAATATCACCTATCTGACTCAGCACCAACTTATTGTTTCTTTCCTCTTCATTCCTATTGCTCTCTGGTCGCCTTTCAGAATTATCCCCTCCCTCCTCTCCATGCCGCAGTATACTGCACACGGCCAAGCTAAGGTCCCACGGTTATCTGTTATTTTCTACTCCCCTAGTTGCACCCACCCCAACTCCATCTCTTCTGTTTTCTCCCCACGTGTTCGCTGCTGTTGATGGGCCACAGAGAAGTCATTAATTCCCAACACAGTGTGAGCAAGAGCGCACACAAGAGGAGAGCGGGGCTGAAGCATTCACAGCTCCACATCCTTCTGATCCCCGAGCCAAAAGAAAAATATCCCCACGGGCCACAGCGCCCGCATGTGTATGTGCGTGTGTGAGTGAGTGTGAAAGAGAAAGACAGACAGACAGACAGAGCAGAAGAAAGCAAGAGAGTGATGGCCAGTCTAAATCACAGGTATTGTTCCAAAGTTAGATCCTTTGGGGGAAAACTGACAGCAAGCTCATCACACTTTATAAGAGTGATACCTGCGATTTTAAGGTGTCTGAAGGTGTCACAGGCCCTTGAAATCACAAAAAAGCCTCTCCCAGGTAGAGACATTTTGTTATTGTCTGTGATCAGGCACAAAGACAGTGGGAATGAGACGGCACTTGACTTACTCAAAGAATGATCAAACTCATGCTAAGTGCTGCATTTGATTCTCTGGGCTCTAAAACACTCAATCAATTTCATTCTAGCTAAGAGAGAGGATTTAGGAAGAAGATCTGCCAGGGAAAAGAGGGGTTTGCTGGGACTTTAGGGAGTTCATTTAGGACAATATTTTAATATTTGCCATAATCAACATAACAATATAGAGATTCACCATGAGTTGTGATATATTAATAATGCCGTAAAATCACAGAGTCCCTGAAGTCCAGCTTTAATTATATTTTTATCTCGTTATATACACATTCAAAAATGATCTTGTCAGCACAAGATGAAAAATGTCACTTTGTGGGGCTTCGCAAGAGAGATTAAATGACACAAAGACACAACAAAAATCAATTAAAGCCTAACTTGTGGTATAATTTGTTTCAATTATATAAGTCCATGGTGCTACTAACAATAGCATCATACTGTGCCCTAAAGAGATCACACAATTTCATCACATATTAGTCTGCCCCTTTATTTCAGTGTGATTAAATTTCATCCAAATGAGGTTACTTCGACGAACTGGACAATTCATTTATGAAAAAGCGAGCCTTCAGATTCCTCCATTTCCTCATCCAAATCTGGTCCCCGTACCATCATGCCAGTATGAGTCATAACTGAGGCTCTATTGTCAGTTGTAATTGGATTTCCTGGGTCATTTTTATACATACAGCTTATAGTTGAAACATTATGCGTAGATTAAGGACAGTTCACCAGTAAGCACAAACCAGAGCTTTCCAAAGTATATGCAGGAATGTCTACTCTCGCTCTTCACATTTAAAAAAAAACAGTATTTTCTCTGATGATAAATCGAAATATTTCAAAAATACCAAAATAATAAACTGTTTTTTTATTTGTGCTATGCTTTAAAAGGCTCAATCACCCACCCGACCTAACTAGCTGAACAGTGCGCTGCAGGCAGAAGAACATGTAGGCTATGTGTTTATTCATCTCAAAATAATTAGTCCGTTTACATGCACAGTTCAGTCAAGCTATGGTTAAGCTTGATTGGGTGACCACTGTCCTTGTCCCAGTTTACAAGCCATAGGCAAGAAGTGTTGTCAGCCTCCGCTATGGTTGGCGGCGACATGCCCCCTTACAGCTTGTTACTTTCGGGCCATGTCACAGTTGATGTATAACATATAAGAACAGCCAGCAAAACAAGCTAGCAAGGTCAAAATACTGTCATTTTTACAGCTGTGGAAAGTTTCGTATTTCTTCGTTTGTAGGGAAATAAATCAATTTTTAAAACTGCATGTAATCACACTGACTGAGTTTTTCTATAGCGAAAGTTAGCCCTTTAATGCCTTTTGTAATCATGTTTGATACATACTTTTATATACAAATTACTAAAAAACACCTGAATACAGTCTGATAAATGATAAAAGTGTCCTCTTGTAGTTTATCTGTTTCCAGAAACATCTGATGTATCAAATGAAATAAATAAAATATATTTGTTAAATTTTAAGATTTTTTCAGTAGTAAGTGAAATAAACATTGCAGCTCTAGAAAAAAATTGAATTTTCTGGCCATAATTTGTGGTGTCAGGCCTTACACTTACAACAATTTGTTTGGGTCAAAATTTCTAAAAAATAGTTGAATTACGCAGCTGAGATAGATAGATAGATATACTTTATTGATCCCAAACTGGGAAATTCACAAAACTGGGAAATTCACAAGCACCTGTCTTCGGCAGGGTAGACTAATTACGCTAGTTTGTCAATAAAGGGGCCAAGCTGAGCAGGATTCAGGTAAGCACACTTACATGACATGAACAAATTCCTCATACAACCATCTCAGACAGATACAATCTCTTAAATGTAAAATAACATGATTGCCAAAAATAACTAGTACAAAAGAAAAATAAGATAATATGATTGATCGTCATCATACAGCTTGTATTCACACAAATCAACCCAGGCTGGTGTTTGGTGTTCAGCACTCTTGCCTGGCTGTTCTATTGGACAGAGAGGTAAAACATTCTTATAGTCCCTGTGTGTCATTAAAACTCTGCAAACTAGTTGTAATACTGGCCATGGCCCCAGCACTATCTGTTAGCTAGAACAAAGTGTCTCAAGTTGCTTTGCAGACTAGAACTAAATGTACACTCATCAGGCAGGATCACGTATAGAACAACTCCTAAACTAGTTTGTACGCCTCCTATCCTTCCTCTTGAAAAATAATCATCCAAGATAGAAAATCTAGGTTGTCCAGTTTCAAAAGGACATGTAAAGCTGGGTCAATGAAAGACTGCACCTTCACATTTAAGAGCACCTTTCATAGAAGAGTTCTCAGGAATTACAGGATAGCTGTAATACTGATGAGGGGTGTTAGGTTGATAACTGTCTACTGTGGATTGGTGTGCGATCAGTACCACTAAGAGGATGTGAAGGGGGTTGGACAATGGACTCTAAAGGATGACTTTGAGCCATTTTTGGGTGTCATTAAACCAAATGACTAGAGCGTGCATGATTGGAGATGTCCACTTGAAAAATCCCAGAGTGAAACAGTTGTTCTAATCCATTTCTTCAAACCTTCAAGGGCCACTCTGTTATTGTAATATTTTGATGAAGAACATTTCATCACAGACTAGAGTTGTCCACACAGAGGTTTTCAATGCTTTGTAAGTAATGTTTTCCAAATATTGTCTTATGCAAGGTGTGATGCCCCTATAGTGTCATCTAGTGTTCAGTTCATTTGTTTTGATGTGGTTTAATCTGGTTTAATAAAGAGTTATTTGGACTTTTACCTGGTGTGTGTCTCCCTTTTTTGTTGTGACCTTTTGAGCTGAGTCATAAGACTTGGATACTCAAGTATCAAGGCCGCTACCCTAAAGCATAAACCGACCCTGATGACCTGTTTGACCAACTGACTTATTTCTATGAGTCTATATATTTTCTCATAACTCAGAGTATGTTAATGGGCCAGGCAGCTCCTGATTTCCCAATCATCAAACCTGAGACTGACTCCCTTTCATGAAAATATGTTCAGACTTGATGCATCATCCTTCCTCTCCTTGCACCAACATTTGGATTTGAGTTCATTGTTTGTGCAGTAGCCTTGCTTCCATTAATCCCCGGTGGTGATGTTTTCCAAAAAAAATAATACAAAGAGCCATACACAAAAAAATACAAATTCCTGAGCTGCATTCATGACAAAGTATGAAAGCAGGAGCTTTGAACTTTTGGGGGGTGCTGCAGGGGTGTTATGACAGAGCTTGCCCATGTTTAAACATGGAAAGCACTTGCCGCAGGCTCCCCTTGGATCCTTTTAAGATGTTATGATAATAAAAGCACGACTTCATTTTTGATAACTTTGGGCCCGTTGTAGGTGACTTTATTTACTAATGTTGTTTGTACTTTTTAAAAAAAGAATAATAATAAACTGAGCTTAATGAGTATAACCAGCAGCTTTTTGGGCTTTTTTTGTGTAGTGCTTCTTTGATGACTTTGAAGTGGTAACTGTGAGAATACCGATATCAGCAGCACCCTTGTGGACCCAATGCCAAAAGCGGATTTTTTTTCTCTGTTATACCCAAGCATCAATATTTGACAATCAATACATAATATATAGCATGAGTTGCTAGTTTTTCTTTTTACACAAAGGGCCCCATCGTACATCAAGACTAAATGTGTCATTGTTATCTTCTTCACTACACCACACAGTCACTCATGTGTGCAGCAGCGCTCCCTGTCAAAAGGAGATATAGTGTATTTCAGATACAGTGAAACTGAGTCTCAGCCCTGCATGGGCCAAAAACTGCAGATCGAGACCATCACCAAGCTCTCTATCACGTGTGCACTCTCTCTTTAATACACACATGTTCAGACACAACCAAAGAGCAATTACAGTAACAATTATTTACAGTTATTACAATTACAGTCCTTAAATATAATTATCTGTCTCATTATATTAATATAGACTATGAAGTTTTGCAATGTGATATGATCGTGCACAGCCCTACATAGTCTTCTGTCTATGATGCCAGGTTCACAGGCTGTTAGTCATCACAGATCCTGTGCAGGACTGCAGGTGTGTCCTGAAACGTAAATAATAAATGAAGCTAGAGGAGACCTATTATAATCTTTTTTTTTACATTTCACTATGTCAATCTGGGACACGTGGAGTAGCTTTGCATGATTTGCAGCACAAAATCCTTATTTATCGTGTGCTGTTGTCAGTGAAAACCCTGATTTCTAGTAAATCTACGTTGTGGCCGTTTTTTATGGAGTTCCATTGCTGTCAAATGTCTGTATGCGTAATTTTGATACTTTGTGCCCATGTTTGAAAACTGGATGTGTAAATAAATACTTCGTACCCCCAAAAATGGTTTTGTCAGCAAATTATGAAAACATTAATTTGCGACCAAATAGGCTGATACTATAACTTGTATGTGTCCTGAATATTACCAAGGGGCTTCCTCTCAAAAGGCTGCAAAAAATGCATGAACTGTTCGTTTAAGGTACGATATGATCCTTAAGTCTTGACAAAACAAGAGTTGTTTTTTTTTATATTTATATATTAGCACATATGTACCATGCCATCCAAACAAATCTCTTTCATGAGGTTATATCTAAAACGTGCAGAAACATACACATCAGCATTGCAGGACACTTTAATCTGTGTTGCCATTAGATTTTATCCAATTAGAATAAAATCAATGTATTTTTTTCTTTTTTTTCCTGTTTGTGAACAAAAATGACTCCTCTAATTTTTAGCATTCATTTGGTTCCAGTTTGTTCAGTTATCATTTTGTGAGCAATAATAAAATGCAAGATAAATTGTGGCGCTTATTAGCAGGCAACTCACTCTCACATACACACAATCTTTTATTCTCTTTCAAAAATTGTTTTGCTTCAATGTTTTTTGTCGAATTTTATTTTATTTTTTTCACAGATTTTTTTTATTTTTTTGTATAGTATGTATGTTATTTTGATACTTTTGATAGATTTAAGCTCCCATGACTGATAAAAAAACAAAGTTCAGAGATGGTTGATATTTATTCCTTTGATTTATTTATTTCTTTACAAAGTATTCTGTTTCTTTTCTGGATCCTAATGTCACTTTTTGTTAAACCTGTGTATAAATACATGCTGCAGCAGCTGATTATAGGGGAACTCAGAGATATAAACTTCACTATCATGCTGGCAAGATCCACTATCACTGCACAGCTTTAATGCTGAAACCTTCAACATGCAAGTAATCTCTTAAACGGATCCTTCAACTTTACTGTCGCACCAAATCTCTTCTAGGACTTTCTTTCAAGACTGAGGTGTCAGTGAGCATGTCTAGACCCAAACATCCTATAAACCTTGGGTTTATGATAGAGGTCCAGATGATGATGGGCTTCAGGGGTTCCTGGGTGCTGACAAACTTTTTGGTCATCAGGCTCACTGACTTTACAGGCCCTTGCTGCACAATAAATACAAACACACACACACAAGCACACAGTCAGAGAGAAAGACAGACAGGCGGGGTGGCAGACACGGGGGGAAAGACAGCAAAATTGGTTTAGTGAGTTTTGACCAGCTGCTGCGTTAACACAGCTTGGAAATAAAAAGAGTTTTCCACAGTACGCACATGAAAATTTGGAATTAAATGTCTGAACTCAAAACCACAAAATCCACAGCTTGGATGAAAAGACGCCTTCATACTTGTTCAAGAGGGAAAAACTGAAAAAGGAAAATCGTCACTTATGAATAAATGTCGAGTTTCAGTATGCTGTAGGAGATAAATGGTAAATGGGCTGCGCTTATAAAAGCACTTTTCAAGTCTTCTTGCTACTCGGTGCTTTTACACATTCACTCATTCATACACTGATGGAAGAGGCTGCTGTGTAAAGCGCCTGTCAGTATCATCTAATCCCATTCACACATCGGTGGCACTGATTAGGGTCAAGTGTTTTGAACAATGAAAAACTGTATGTGGACAGTGGCACCTGGGGAATCAACCTTTACATTCTGCGTTAAGAGATGCAACTGCTGAGCCACAGCCACCCCTCATGATGGCGTGCATAAGAGCTGCTTAAGTATACCAACAATCACAACCACAATTTTTTTCACTGATCTTGATATAACGATCATCAAAGGCCATCACCTATGAACTAATCTTAGCAACTTCCTTATGCTCCCAAACTTTGTTTAGTCTTGATTATCATGTTTCTGTAATTGTTAGGGGCAAATTTCATCATGTAAATCAAAATCAGATTTATTGAACAGCGATTCATCTTCTGTCATGTCATCAATTTGTACAACAACTCAAAGTCATTATTTTATTTTTTATTTTTTTTCCCCCAGTATCACCTTAGAGCTGTTAAGTTAAAAACGCTCATCCACTTCCTTCTCTGCATTATTCAGTGATTAACCCGAGAGAATTGTTAGTAGTACTGTCAACACTGTTAAGACCAATGCAAAAGAAACCACAATTCTTTATAAATCAGCACAAATTTTGAGTTTGTTGTACCTTTACTGCAATTCCGGAGCTTGTATCATGGCCAGGATGCCTCTGATTCCAACTCTAGTGACTCATTTTAGGGAAAACATCTTTGTATGCTAACTTACCTCTAATTTCAAAGATATGTCTCCTACACTGCAAGCGGGTGAAACACCATTCATTCTAAGATCTATGCTTAAACCAAATGGTGCCTGCAAAGTCTGAATTTTCTTCAATTTTTGCTCAATTTTTCTCATGTGCATGTTGTGTTTTGTTGGCTGTGGATGAATATTTCTGCTGGGAGAAGATTTTATTCAAGAGAAGAGCTTCTTTCATTGAAACAGAGCAGATTTGAACAACAACATTGAAATCCAGAGGACATCAGGAGGCGTTATCCTGGTTGCCATGCTGGTACACAGCTGAAGGCAAGGTTGAAGGCTAGGGAATGGAGATATAAACCCTTTCTCCCATTAGTCGTCATGGGAAACGTCAACTCTGCCCAGCAAAAGTGACAAGCTGGAGACATTGGGGAAGGCTGAGAAAGTATACTGTGACTGCAGTCTCCTGTGTTTTACTGAAACCTGGTTGAATCAAAACAACTCGGACTCCAGTGTGGATCTACCTGGCTACACTCATATAAGCTCAAACAGAGATGCTAAAGCTAGTGGCAAGAGGAAATGAGGGGGTCAAGGAGAAGTTGTGTTGTCAAGTTATTGAAGTCCTGGCAGATGCCCTTCGACCATATTATGTTCCAAGAGAATTTAGTCAAATCATAACAATACCTATTTACATCCCACCCAAGGCAATGGTTGAAATCCCATGCAATGTTTTGCATGATACTGTTGCTAGGATATGGACTCAACACCCTGAGGCACTTACAATAATAGAGGGAGACTTCAGCCATATCACCCTCTCCTCTCACCTGACTGGAATCACACAGTTTGTTAACTGTCCTACCAGAGAAAACAAAACCCTGGATCTGCTGTATGCCAACGTCAAAGAAGCTTACAGAGCCACTGCCTTACCAACACTGGGCAAGTCAAATCATGACTTGGTCTATCTGCAAATCAGAAGATGGACTCCTCAAGCTAGTGAAGCTCTAAAAGGGACTGTTTTAAATCAACAGACTGGACTGTGCTGCTGGAAACAGACGAGACCATATGAACATTGACAGACAGAAAGACTGCTTTACTGGATACATCAACTTCTGCAGAAACACAATTTATACCTGCAAAGATTGTGTTTCCTCAACAACAAACCCTGGATCACAAGTGACATAAAGTAAATCCTCAACCAGAAAAAAGGGAAGCTTTTAGAGACAGCGACAAAGAACGACTCAAACAAATGAAACACGCGTTGAAGAGGAGACTGAAGATGGCAAAGATGGCAGAGCAACATCAGTGAGGTGTGGAGAGGAATCAGTACCATCTCTGGACATATAGAGATTAGACTCCGGACAAACAAGTTTCCTCTTTGGGGATCAATAAAGTTCTTGTACTTGTGTATTTATTTTTAAAATCCTTTCAAATAGTTTTGTGTTGATCCCAGGATAGTCAGACTGCCTTTTGACAATCAGTTTTGATGTGCTTCACTTTGGTTTTGAAATGCTTAGGTCTGTTTAAAACAGAGACTGTGTTGATGACTAGAATATTTCAACAGCCTAAGGGACGACATGAGGGCCACTTCACATAGAGGTTTTGAATAAGGTCCTTTTTCCAAGAATTTATTTAATACCAACTGTGCAGGGCTGCAGCGAGGCAGTGTTATTATTGTTGTTGGGTGTTAGGCTGAAAAAATGATTTGAATGTTCAAATCCGGAGAAACTGCTGAACCAATGACATCACGGCTCTTATCAGTCATTGCGGTCCTCATTATAACGACTGTGAGCATGTTGTCAAGCAGCTAAGCCTGTGCGTCATTCTGTTGCCTGTTGTTTGTTTGAGAGGAAAGTACCTGTGGTTGAAAGATGTGGAAGTTTGGAGGCAGGGATTTTTTATGACTATTTTCTAGAGTCTGAGGAAAAAGCACAATTATATTCCTCATAGGCTGTGCTGTGCAAAATCTGATCAGGATTTTCTACCGTCGTTTCCAACAGCATGCTCATCAACTCACTGATGACATTTTGGAACTCAGCTGTGAATGAAATTGAGTTTCAAAACATCGACAGTGAGCATGATGGAGAATTTGGCATTTGGTAGGAATAAATCGCTGGAGTATATGTGTCTTTAAGTAAAGAGCTCATCTGCGATCCCACTGCCACTGTAGCTATTATCCAAAACTAATTATGTTTTTGGCTTAAAGTGATTTTCTGGATGCAGAAGCTACGGTGGAATATTTTCAACTAATCGAATTATGAAGAAAAAAGGGATGGGAGGTATCAGTGCTTAACTGCAGTGATGACTAAATTTGTGGCGGAAACAAATTAATGGCCGGAGCCATCAATTCTCAAACTCTTGCATTTGTTATACTTTACAGTTAAGAAACAGTCATTGGGTTTAGGCAATAAAAATAATTAGATCAACTTAGAGTATTGTGGATCCCCAACCTCAACTAACACCCCCAGCATGTTAAAAAAAATCACTCAGATGTCCAGTTTGTGAGATGACCAGTTTTAGTGCTTATTAAGTATGGGGTGGTGATTAATTTAATCAACACACTGGGCCCAAAGTATCCCAGAATGCACAGGGAAAGTAGTAAACAAATGACTGATAGCCAGCTTAGCATACACAGTAGGTCATTGTGCACTGAGCGAAAGGGGGAAAAAAGCAAATAAAGTGATGAATGGCATCGAGGACATGTTTTTTTTTTAGTCTTACTGCAAAGCTTTCTGGTTGTGCTAACTAGAAAGCTTCAATTTTGCCTTTTATGTCTTTCTTGATCACCACTGTGAGTCTAAAAGAACTGCATTGCTCCAGACAGGTTTTGGGGGGAAATGTGTGTCCCTTTCGCTGGTAAAAGGTTTTATTACTACAGCTGGGACTTTGTTCCAAGAGCTGTGGGCTTTGGCACTGTGTGGCTCCTTACATTAACAGCCTCTCTTAATAGCAGAAAACCATAGGACACAAAGATTGGAGCACTTAATAGAACAATTTTAAGTGCACTTTACACCCCATCCCCCCAATACCATAACTGCCTGTCTGTACTCACTTTGAAAGTTCTGAAATATCAACACTTTGTCAAAACCCTCAGTGTCTCTTGGAGACGGACGAGGTACCTTTGAGAGTCTTTATGAGAAGCAACAGGCTTAAACTGGATACAAAAAACTGGTGGTTTTATACATGCTCTGACCTACTATGTACCATATAAGCACAGGAAAGATTCAGCTAAAGTCAGTAATTAAACTGTTTGAACAAAGCAGGACTTTTACCAAAGAGACAGGGGGGTTAATACAGTATTATACCCAGAGCATAAACTGCTGACTTTTGACAACATGTCAAAAAGAAATACAAAACAACAAGATTCAACATGCATCAAAAACCATGATCCTTGATAAAGTGGGATGGAGGTTATTTTCAGGCAGCTTTAACCCATGATGCCTCTTTTCAAGTCCTAATTTTAGAGAAACACAAAAAAAGTGTTTTGAAAGTTTTCTTTTCTTTTTTTCAATTTTTTTTTACTAATTTGTGGTTTAATTAAATAAACCTACAATGAACATAATGATAAAACAAACACATTGAATGGTCTTTTAAATTCAACTGTCAGATTACAATGGAACAAAATGTGATCGGATAAGTATTTATGGTATCATTTTTTAAAAATGCAATAATAATAATAATAATAATAATAATAATAACTTGCTTTCTATTCGATGGATAACAGATTTGTTTATGGGCATACCTTTATTCTGTATTTCAGTGACATACTCACACGTGCATTTTAGGATGATCTCTTCAGGTTGGCTATCTTTGGAAATTCAACTCTGGGGCATTGTCTTTCATGACTGTTATACAGTTTGTGTTGTTTTTTAATGTTTCTGGTGCCTGGATAACTTTTCTTAAAAAAAAAAAAAGAAAAAAGGAAAAAAAGGCGTCCTTACTTCACCTCAGTTGTTGGTTAACTTGACCTACTTTGCTCCATTGTTCACTGCGTCTCTTCATCTTTCAGGACCCTAGCAACATAGTTGAAGCAACAGCTGGCCTCAGTCATGACGGGCACACTCACTTTACAGGTAAATAATGCTGTCTGTTGTCACAAATAAGGAGATTTAATCATTAAATCCTGAATTTGAGACAATGTTTCCAGATGCATTTTTAAAGGAAATATCCCTGTCTTACATTGAGGTCTAAACTGTACTACTGTTCCTGGCACTGAGCAGCAATTTCTCTTCCTAAATGCATCTAATACAACCTTAGCAATGCACTGATACTATAAAGTAGACAACTAAAAATAACACATACCACCAGTTAAAACTGATCATTTTATTTTATTCTGAATGGAAGATTTTTTTTTTTCTTTTTTAAATGCTGACATTACACTACTGGGAGAAAACAACAAGCTAAAAATAAACATGTTTTTTTGTGCCCATGGGTATTCTTACATTTGATATCAGCTGCAACTTGCTTCTGAGAATATCTGTTTCTGGAAACAGGATACTGCGTAGCAAAAAGGTTGTCTGTTTGGTACACGGTCGAGCTCTGGAGCCTTGAATCCAAAAATAGATTGGTCCAACATACCCCAGGATGGATGAGAAAAACAAAGGGATGAGATTCAAAGAGAATGAAGAGAGGAGTTTTGGACTGGAATTGAAAAGTGCAGAAATCGAGGGAGTGTGTTTTTGTGAAGTAATGCCTGCTTCAGTGGTTAATGGCACACCGAGCAGAGATGTAATTGATAACTGTTATCTCTGGACAGGCAGTTACCGTAACACAGATAAAGGCCATAATACACTGGACTGCGATGTACAGCTAGACGAATGGAAGCAGACTGATCGAAAACTTAGAGGTGCTAAAAGGAAAAGAGATAAAGGAGTGGGAGATGAAATAGTCAAAAATGAGCATTGAGACAAAAGAGAGGAGACGGAGACAGAGGAGAGCGATGAAGAGGCTCTAATAATATAATGGTGTATTCATATATCAGTGTTGTCCTTTGGAGAGAGGTTTGATCTTTCCTCATATGCCTTCAGCCCAATTTGTTATCCATATTTTCCTCACTAGAACACTTTCATCTTATGCCCTTTATTATCAATATCCTCCTATATGGCACCCATTTATCTCCCCTCACCTATTCTTACCCTCTGCGCCCCATTTCACTCGCTGGCTCTCAACGATCACCTGTTCCCACCCCTCCTAAATCACATCGCTCTCATTTATCACCTCCTCTCTTCACTATCTTCCTCCCTTTTTAGTTTTCCTCATCCATTCTCCACTTTATGCTGCTTTGCCCCTTTGCGTCAGGCTGAGCTGAACAGATCAGAACAACACTGCGGCTGCTGTGGTCACTGGATAATGACAAGATGCTAGCGAAAAGCCAAAAAAAAAAAAAAACCCATTAAGGGGAGAGAGAGAAATAGCCGGACAGACTGGGACTGAGGCACGTGCATAGAAGAGATATTGCGATATTCCAGCGTGACTCATGCCTCCTGAAAGCCCATGCCTCTGTTGTAAATCCTCTGACTTTTGCAGCTCTATGTTTCGTTTAGTGGTCATCAGGGAGCACAAACACACACACACATGGATGCACACACACGTACGCTCAAAGTGCCTCATAAACATTTACAGTTATTACAATGGAAATTGCACTGGCGTAGAGGGGAGGCAGCACTGGAATTAAAATCAGTTTCACTCAGAGTTTAACCTGCAGTCTTCTTTAAGCTGAACTGTAGATTAAAACTGTTTTTAACACTGACTAAAAATAACATCAATATGACAAATTACACACATAAAAAAGAGCAATCATCTACCGTTCAATAGTGGGAACCCTGCTGCTGTGAAGTTCCAACTTAAAAACAGCTCAAACTTAAATTGTTTGCTTTATGCCAAATCACTAACTGTCACTAACTTTATATCCTGTCTTGGGTTTTTTGTGCCTCCCAGGTTACTATATGTTGTCATTGAGGATCCCCTGCTGCTGTGAACTTATTTGACCCTTACTGCAACAATAATGGTTTTTAAGTCATGCTTTCATTGTCACTTAATTAGATAACCAATGATATTTCAATTCTTCAGTTGACATAGCTGAGTTTTGTTCTGTTTTGTGTTTGCATGTGAAAAATAAAAAAAAGTGTCATATTTGCATAGCCTGCTTCTGGGGTCTTGTCTGGTGTGGTAGACTCTACAGGGAAAGTGTACAGGAATATTTGTGCTGAATAGGTGCCCAGGGTCAAAATGGAAGGACCCTAAAAAGTGGCCAAGATTGGCCGAGCTGAGGCTCTGTGGGAATTCCACATCTAGACCGACAAACCGGTGGTGGCAAATCAACCTGACATAGTAGTGGTCAATAAACAGCAGAAGAGCGCAGTGGTGATAGATGTAGCAGTCCCAAGTGACAGCAACATCATGATGGAGGAACATGAGAAGCTCAGGAGTTCAAGAGTTTTTCATGCTTTGTGAAACCCTGAAACACACCAAAGGAAACTGAGATGATTTTTAATGAAATCGTCAGTGGTAATAATAATATAATCAAATTTCCCTTTGGTGTCCTGTTCACACAATTTTAGGCAGTGGCTCAGTATGACATTTGATCCTATTTAAAGGGATATTCCGGTGTAAAATGAAGTGAGGGTCAAACACACTGTAACACCGAGTTAGACACCCCATCAAGAGATGAATATTGCCGATCGCTTGCTTCTCTAGTTATACCAACTTTAGTAACGACCGCACGATGGCAATACACAGCGGTCTAAGGAGCCATGTGCTCAACCAAAAAGCCACTCTATAGCCACAAATGATGCTCAGAACAGCACCTAACTTTATCAACAGCACATATAGGGTTCCCAGCCAACACACTAGCCACCAAACATCTTTTTAACTTTGCCTGATTTCTTTAGCAAAGAGACTAAACACAACTCACCTACTCTCTTCCAGCAGCCACTTGTCTGTATGGAGACCTCGGACAAGTCCATCGGCTGCTGTGGGGTGACACAGCTCAAGGAAGAGTATCTATGATCATTTCTTTATCATTTCCTTTAAGTAATAATCCCCATATTACTCATTTTGTACTGCAGATGCGGTAGTTCTTCTGCCTTTGCATCTTGGTCTGTTTGCATTTCCATTCAGAAATGATCATGGTTTTGGTTGAGGTGTGCGCGTGGCTACTTAGAAGCAAGCGTTCAGCAACATTCATCTCTCGGGGTGTCTGACTCGGTGTTACGGTGTGTTTGACCCTCACTTAATTTTACGCGGGAATAGGGAATATCCCTATAATACCACTTTTACAAGTGCATGTCAACCAATGTTAACATCATGGCACTGAACTTAAAAAAACATATATATTATTATTTTTTTGCAAACACTGGATTTACCTGTGACAGCCTTTTATAGTGTGTTTGGTTTCTCTAATCACAAAATAGAGGTCTGCAAAAAAAAAACCAGTGTACTATATCTAACCTTGCTGCTCAGAGCTTTTAGGGCATTAAATAATACAACTACAACAAGTCTAGACTAGTTGTTAAATAGATCCATAAATAAATGCGGCAGAATCTACTAGAAGGTCGCAAAAGCTCAAATCCAAACCACTATCCCCCAAGGTTGTAGTATTCCAGTAATTTCTTTGTAAACAGCAATTCTAGAGTCCCTGTAGGTAATCATCGCTTGTCCTTTTACATTAAACATCTGCTATAAATGGTAGAAAATCTGTGCCAAGTATGTGACTCACACTGGCGTGATCAGGCTGTCGTCACATGTAAATTTGTAGTATGAGTCAATCAGTCTTAACAGTGGTATGATGTATGCTAGCATCTGACACACAAAGACAACAGCTCATAAAAAAAGGAGCAAATTAGCATACACTTTGAATCCTTGTCTTATTATGTGAGACTTAATCCTGGTCAACTTCAAATAAAATGAATATAGAATATATATATAATTGATCTCAGTGTGACACATTATAATGCTTATGCATGATGTATTCTGGGATTTATCGCTGATGGAATATGAGGAGGCTTGCAGCATCCATCTCTTGCACCAACCACATTATTTGCATGCAAACCTTAATCCGACCATGGTCTGACTGAGGTTTTATGGAACTAAGCATCTCACAGGTGATGTTGATTCCCATTAATCGGAGCTCCCTGATGCTGAGAGCAAAGCAATAAACACAGTCTTCCAGCCCACTTGCGGTGCGCCACCCACAGATCAAGCAATCCGTCAGCAGAAAAGTCTGTATGAGATATCCAGTGTGTGGTTTGAATGGGAAATAGTTTACTTTTAATATGGGAAATATGAATGCGCTACCAGTGCTGCAAGTGTTTCTGTTTAGGAGAAAAAAAATCAAACTAAAGATCATGCAAGTTTCACAGAGGTTTAAATATGAGCTTGAATTATTCTAAAATTAGGTTAAATAGGGATGCAGGAACAACTAAAACATAAGAAATCTCTAGGTTCTACCTCCATAGCTTTGTGGATTATACCGTAAACAATGAGGAGCATGGCCGAAATACTTAAAGGGGGAATCAGAGAGAGCCTCGGCTGGCTGCTCATCCCTCTACAAACCTGGCCACCACCCCAGCCTGTTAGGGGCACCACCAAAGATTGGCCACAATCAAACTACTTAACACATAAACCATATAATACAATCAGTCCCAAAGTGACTTCTACACTCTGTTTTTTGCAGATTTTAGCCCAAATAGACCTCCATCCTCAAAACTGTACAACCTGTTTAAATAAACAATTAGAAACTTCTCTTTTCTTCACGTCTAACATCTCCTAGTCTGCATACTCTGGACTTTCTACACAATGCGTCAACTTCAGATTTCATAGATTGAACAGATTAAGAAGATCTTAATACTGCAATGTGTTTTTTTTTCCCCCTAGCTTTCTTTATATTCAAGAGAAAATAAAAGAAACCGTGGACTACATTTTAAGTGACAAAAACATCAGAAGAAAGCTAATATAAGCCTCTTTAATAATACATCCTTTGTCAACG